TAAAAAACTAAAGTATTCTCTTACCTGTAGATGACAAACTCCTAAAGCAGGGCAGCAATGAGTCGCCAACTCCTACTGTGTGAGGAAGTTGCGTGACAAAAATACAATGCTCTGTTATTAAAGGCATTTACTATATCTTCAGGTAGCAATGGCTTTATAACATGGGTGCTGTTGGTACTTTACCTTTAATTAAAATCCAACCCATGTTTACGTCACCCTCACACGGCATACTTCAACCTGACTAGTTGGCAATGGCGCAGCTGTTTGATGTAGAACACAATCCAACACACTTTCTTACATGCACATTATTTTTCAGTGGTTACATTTTTTCATTTTAAATGGAAAAAAAAGTGATTTAGCTCTCTGCAGATATTACATTTTTCAGCTTCTGTCTGCCTGCAGGTGTTGATCCACTCCCACCTCAGCCTCTGTCACCTCTGTGCAGCTGAGCTGAACACATTTTACCTCAACTTTGCAAGGGTTGGACTTTCATTACATTTCATTGTGTCGAAATGTTGTTAATCATCACTTATTTTGTTTTAAGAACTAGGCTAATTAGTCATTTGAGCTAATGATACACCTGAACATGTATACGTAAATATGCAGTATATGTCACAATCTGTCAGTGTTTTCTGTTTCATTTTGAAAAGTGTTCACCCCTGTGTTATGTCTGTTTTCACTTCCTGTCTCTGTGTTTTCCTTCCTGTTCCATTACCTGATTCTTTTCACCTGGTGCCCTTGTGATTTTCCAGCCCTGCCCAGCTGTGTCTTGTCCTTGAGATAGTTCTGCATGTATTTAAGTTCTGGTTTTCTTTTGGTGTTTCTCAATCATGTAAGAGTTCTGTTCAGTAAATACTGTTATATTTTTACTATAGTTGTTATTATTTTAAATATTTTTCTAGTTCTCTATCTGTGTTTTACATTTTTGTTTTACTTTTATGTATGCACCACGACATCAAGTCAAATTCCTCGTACGTGTAAACCTAATAAACCTGTTTCTGATTCTGTTTTTGCCTTGCCCTGCCCTGTTCTGTCTGAATTGTCTAGGAGGTATTTGTGTGTCCTGCATGTGTGTCCTCACTGCTCCATGTGTCTGTACCTGAAAGAATATTTAATATAAAAATATTTAGTTCATTTATATAATGTGTTGTATATGACCCACTCTACCCTCTGAGGCATAATATAGTTGGCATGTCACAGTGTGTTGTTTTCTTTCAGAGTGCTCCAGCTAGCATATGTTGGTTTCTCAAAACCAAGATAAGGACTTCCTCATGTTTCTCTAACCAGTTACTGAGGGTTACATGCACAAGCAATAATCAGAGAAACTCATGTTTCTTAACTGTTACTGGTGTCCACATAAATAATAACTTATAGTTAATACATTTCAGTTGTCATAAAGCATTTATAACTTCCAATGTAACATCATTTTGACAAATGTCCCTTCCTCAGAGCTGGATTAGACTCAGTCAAATGAAAAGTCAATCATTAGTTTGTAAATCCACAGTGAAAGCTAAAAATTACTTGCACATTTTTTAAACCTTGAGTAGTACAAATGTATTTGTTTTGGATACCTCATTTGCAAATAAACACAATTTCAATACATATATAAACCGATCAACCATAACATTATGACCACTGACAGGTGAAGTGAAGAACATTGATTATCTCTTTACAATGGCACCTGTCAGTGGGTGGGATATGTGAAGCAGCAAGGGAACGCTTCGTCCTCAAAGTTGATGTGTTGGAAGCAGGGAAAATGGGCAAGCAAAAGGTTTTGAGCGACTTTGACAAGAGCCAAATTGTGATGACGAGGCGACTCGGTCAGAACATCTCCAAAACTGCAGCTCTTGTGGGGTGTTCCCGTTCTGAAGTGGTCAGTTCCTATCAAAAGTGGTCAAGGAAGGAAAACCGGTGAACCAGCAACTTGCAGGACTTAAAGGATCTACTGCAAACGTCTTGGTGCCAGATACCACAGCACACCTTCAGAGTAGAGGCCATGCCCCGACGGGTAGGGGCTGTTTTGGCTGCAAAAGGGGGACCTACACAATATTAGGCAGGTGGTCATAATGTTATGGATGATCTGTGTACATTTCTCCAAGTCATCCTGATACTCACATGTAATATAAAGCAAAAGGTTCGTAAACAAATGTAGGTTTGTGGAAAACTTGAGATATGTTATTCAAATTAGGATTAGATAAAATAACACAATACACTGTAAAATGAAGAAGGCAAGGATTTTCAGTTGATTTTATGTAAAACTAAATCCAAGTCTAAAAATGTTGATCTACCTTCACTCACTGCATAATAATCAGTATTCAATAAGCTTTCTGCTGCATCAAAATAAATTGTAATTAGACTACAGTATGTGTAAATAAGTAATTGAAAAAACTTAAGTAAAGAGTTTCTTAGAGTTGTAAACCTTTAAGATATAAAGAAACAATACAATCGTAAATAACAGAAGAAAATGTTAATCAGGAAGGTGATTCACGAATAAAATAGCTTGTAGACACAGAAACTTTCATATCTCGATTGATGTTTCTAAAAACAAAGGAATGTTGAAGTTCAGTTTAAGTATATAAACTAAATTCACACAATAACAACAATATTCGCAAAACAATGCATGTTCGTACCTGATTTAGACAACATTAAATCCAACAAATACAATGAAGAGTGATCGATGGTGCGGATGGCAAAGAACTGAAAATAAAGTCAGGAAGTAAGAGATGATAAACATCCTGCTCACCGTTCATGCTTTTGTGAAGCAGAAGGTGAAGGTTTGTGAAAGAGACTCATTCTGATATCTGAGGGCTAACATGAATAAAGTCGCTGTGCCTTCAGTGGGACTAAGTGTCTTATAATAATGCAGACATTTCATGATGATCCAGTTATTATTAAATAGTTAGGTCACACATGTGGACACTGCTACTCCCATTGGTCCACACTCAGCTGCTGGGACACATATTGACAGAAACACACCCCTCCCTCCAGGTGACCGGTGGAGCTGGGCTGAGGAAAGGGGAAGTGTCTTTGAGCAAGGCAGCAGGCGTAACCTGATGAGAAGTACAGCAGAGCTCTTTGATACAAATCTTCAGCACAAACCTGATCAGAAAACGTTTCTGCAAACATTCTCGTCCAGAGAAACATACACCAGAGAGATTTTTGAGTTGGAACGACGACCCATTAACACTTTCTCCTCAGAGAGGATGATGTTTGTTTGGCCAATAGCTTTTTTCATTTCCCTCACTATGTACTTTTCATCATCATTCTTCCAGAGACAGATATGAATAAACAATCCCAATGGAACCAAGAAAAAGCTCAAAAGAAAAAGCACACATGCTACAACAGAGTCTCTGAATACCTTTGAAACGACTTGGAAAAATATAGCCGTTGAAAATGTATTGAATGAAGCCATCAGGAAAATAAATATTAGGCCAAAAAGGTAAATTAAAACTCTAACCCAGACGGGGCGGAACCAAACTTTATTTTGAGACACACTGTTGATCATCCTCACAGCCTTTCTGTACTTCTCTTGGTCCTCGATGATCAGGCGCAGCTGGTCTGGTACCTCCATGTCACTGAAATGACCACAATCCCATTTACTGAGACTGTCTTCATTTACAGCAACCAACGGCTGCAAGGCCTTCCCGTTGTAGATGGAGGGGGGATGGAAGGGCAGCACAGTGGACCCTTGAAGCTGCTGGTTGGGGGTGAGCACCTTGAGCAGCTTATTCTCGAAGTCGGGGTCGTTGGCCTCGAGGCAGGTGAGGTGGCAGAGGTGGAGAGGAACGGAGACTCCTGGCTTCAGCAGTACTGGGACTGAACAAAGACATGTTGGCCTCCAGGAGACACCAGCGGCTCCTCACAAACTCTGGGCTGAGAACCAGCAGGACCTTCTGGCTCTCCTGGATGCAGTCGGACATGTTTTCCAACACGGTGCGGCCGGGGGTGGAGTCTCGATCATGGTAGCAGACCTGCAGGCCGCAGGCCTCCAGCTGGTCGATGAGGCAGTGGGTCCACTGGTAGTCAGTGCTGCTGTAGCTAATGAAGACATGGTAACACTCTCCATCTCTCAGGGTGGGAGGAACAGGAACAGAGGGAGACAGTGGCTGAATGTCTGCAGTCTCAAGTGAATTAATTGGGCCATTATCTATACAAAAAAAACTAAAGTAAAAAGAAAATATGATTTAGAGATATAGGCATGATTTTTTCAACAATTCTAGGCATTTGTTTTTTATGATAATATATCTCCACCTTTTAAACCACCTTTGAAAGTCCAACTGAGACTCAGTGAATGAAGTTCAGTGATTTAAGTTGTCTTTAAATAATTGTATTGTTGTTTTCCGAACTCTGTGTTTCGGAGTGTGATATTGGCAGAACATAGATGCCACACATTTACTTACTAATAATACCTTCAGAAGAAATAAAACACATATTTTATTTTGTATCAACAAGGCTAACGAGATGCTCTGTCAGCATACTTCTATAAAAGGATTTTTTTTAAAGTTTTCAATCACCCAAAAGCGGCCATCTTAGAAAAGCACATAATTCTCATTAGACTCAGAATAATGAAAAGTAAATCATATTTTTTTAATCCCCAGTGAAAGCAAACGATAATATGTTCATTTTTTTCAACCTTGAGTATTACATTTGTATTTGGTTCGGATCCAATGTTTGAAAATAAAGTCAATGTCAATACACGTAGAAGTTCCTCCAAGTCATCCTGATACTCCCACGTGTAATATAAAATAAAAGGCTCTCAAACAAGTTTAGGTTTGCAGAAAAGTTGAGTTCTGTTAGTAATATTATGATTACAAATTACACTGTAAAAAGTAGAAGGCAAGGATTTTCAGTTGATTATAAGTAATACAAAATCACACATTTTAAAGCTTTCTTCTACAGTCACTCACTGCATAACAATCCATATTCAAGAAGCTCTCTGCTGCTTCCATCATAATTAGCCTATTTGTATAAAAAACATTAATTAAACAAGATTACTTACAGAGTTTGTCAGAGTTTTAAACATTCAAGATATAAAGAAACATACACATTGGAAATAACAGAAGAACAAGTCAATCAGGAAGGTGATTCACCCAAAAGATAGCTTGAGGACACAGAAGCTTTCATACCTCGATTGATGTTTCTAAAAACAACAGAATGATGAAGCTCAGTTTACGTATCAAAACTAAATTCACAGAAAACAAAAATATTCGCAAAACAATGCATGTTCGTACCTGATTTAGACAACCTTAATTCCAGCAATTACAATGAAGAGTGATCGCATGGTGCGGATGGCAAATAACTGAAAGTAAAGTCAGGAAGTAAGAGGTGAGAAACATCCTGCTCACCGTTCATGCTTTTGTGAAGCAGGTGAAGGTTTGTGAAAGAGACTCATTCTGATATCTGAGGGCTAACATGAATAAAGTCGCTGTGCCTTCAGTGGGACTAAGTGTCTTATAATAATGCAGACATTTCATGATGATCCAGTTATTATTAAATAGTTAGGTCACACATGTGGACACTGCTACTCCCATTGGTCCACACTCAGCTGCTGGGACACGTACTAACAGAAACACACCCCTCCCTCCAGGTGACCTGTGGAGCTGGGCAGGGGAAAGGGGAAGTGTCTTTTAGCAAGGCAGCAGGCGTAACCTGATGAGAAGTACAGCAGAGCTTTTTGAAACATTTCTTCAGGACAAACCTGATCAGAAAACGTTTCTGCAAACTCATGTTTGCAACCGTTCAGAGAAACATACACCAGATAGATTTTTGAATTTGACTGAGAGCCCATTAACACCTTCTCATCACACAGAATGATGTTTGCCTGGCCCAAAGCTTTCTGCATCTCCCGGACTATGTACTTCGCTTGGTCCTTTTTCGAGAGAGACAACTGAATTACCGTCGCAAAGAATAAACAATACAAACTACAACAAACGATCGCCCAAAGAGTTTTGTTCACATGTATGTTATAAGCATTTGACATGATTAACATATAAGTTGATGGAGCGAGCAAAGACAAACACATTATCGCAGCAGCAATTAACATCATAACTGTAACCCAGTGTGGTCGCTTATTTTGAGAAACCCTGTTGATCGTCCTCACAGCCTTTCTGTACTTCTCTTGGTCCTCGATGATCAGGCGTAGCTGGTCTGGTACCTCCATGTCACTGAACTGACCACAATCCCATTTATTGAGTCTCTCCTCATTTACAGCAATCAACGGCTGCAGGGCCTTCCCGTTGTAGATGGAGGGGGGATGGAAGGGCAGCACAGTGGACCCTTGAAGCTGCTGGTTGGGGGTGCAGAGCACCTTGAGCAGCTTCTTCTTGAAGTCGGGGCCGTTGGCCTCGAGGTAGGTGAGGTGGCAGAGGTGGAGAGGAACGGAGACTCCTGGCTTCAGCAGTACTGGGACTGAACAAAGACATGTTGGCCTCCAGGAGACACCAGCGGCTCCTCACAAACTCTGGGCTGAGAACCAGCAGGACCTTCTGGCTCTCCTGGATGCAGTCGGACATGTTTTCCAACACGGTGCGGCCGGGGGTGAAGTCTCGCTCATGGTAGCAGACCTGCAGGCCGCAGGCCTCCAGCTGGTCGATGAGGCAGTGGGTCCACTGGCAGTCAGTGCTGCTGTAGCTAATGAAGACATGGTAACACTCTCCATCTCTCAGGGTGGGAGGAACAGGAACAGAGGGAGACAGTGGCTGAATGTCTGCAGTTTCAGGTGATTGAATCGGCTCCATTATCTAAAGAGAAGGCAGAGGTGAGAACATTGTAAAGTTATTAATGCCCTACAAGGATACTCTTCAAGGGTACCTACAGCTTTGAACAGTGTGCAAGTAATACAGTTTTTAGCAATATGGTTTTATTAGATATTATCCCCAAAAAGTATTGAACAGACATTCATTTGAAGTTGTAATCACATGGTTGGACGCAACATCACCACTCGTAAATGATATCTGAACATGTTTCTGAAAGTGTTTAATTCGACCTAAAGATATTTTTAAGTGTTTAGAGTTTTGTAGTGAAAATCAATTCAGTAAATTACTTCAGTTTTTTCTTTGATAAACAGGTTCACAAAAAATGCTTTTACATACATGTTATGAGTGTTTGTATTGGTGCTAATCTGACACACTGTAGATCACAAGTATTGACCAGCCATTTCTAATTTTCCAGTATGTCAAGTACTGTACACATCCTGAAAACAATCCTACTACTACAATACCCCCTTTGTCTATAATCCATTGTTTGAGTTCACCATAAGATTACTTAAACTGATCATGACTGTCTCGTCCATGCACCTTGTGACACGTCACAATGTCAACGAGGGAAGACAAGTACAAACACAGTTAAATTCAGTAGTACCATCATCAGCCTCCAAAACGGCATATATGAAACTATGCCTATTTAAAACAGTTTCAACAACATTTTAATATCAGGATTAAGTCATTCATTTACTCTTCTTTCTTAATGTTGCATTCCATCAGAACAGCACAGGTTTCACAAAGGAGTGTTTAAAAAAGAAAAGTATTGTCTTACCTGTAGATAACAAACTCCTAAAGTAGGGCAGCAATGAGTCGCCAACTCCTACTGTATGAGGAAGTTGCGTGACAAAAATACAATGCTCTGTTATTAACCTGTTAGGTAGCAATGTTAAGCCCATTGCTACCTGAAGATATGAACTATATCTTCAGGTAGCAATGGCTTTATAACATGGTTGCTGTTGGTACAGTTACTGTACCTTTAATTAAAATCCAACCCATGTTTACGTCACCCTCACACTGCATACTTCAACCTGCTAGTTGGCAATGGCTCAGCTGTTTGATGTAGAACACAATACAACACACTTTCTTACATGCACATTATTTTTCAGTGGTTACATCTTTTCATTTTAAATGGAAAAAAAAGTGATTTAGCTCTCTGCAGATATTACATTTTTCAGGTTCTGTCTGCCTGCAGGTGTTGATCCACTCCCACCTCAGCCTCTGTCACATCTGTGCAGCTGAGCTGAACACATTTGGTTTTCAAGCCACATTAAAGGAAGACTGCACCACACAGTTTACCTCAACTTTGCCAGTGTTGGACTTTCACCTTAATTTCACTGTGTAGAAATATGGTGTACTATCACTTGTTTTGTTCTACAAACTAAGCTAATTTGTCATTTGAGCTAAGGATTAGACCTGTAAATATATATGTAAATACTGAGTATATGTCACCATCTGACTGTGTTTCCTGTGCCCTTGTGTTTTTCCTGCCCTGCCCTGCTGTGTCTCGCCCTTGTGATTAGTTTTGCATGTATTTAAGTTCTGGTTTTCTGATATGTCAGTGTGTTGTTTTCTTTCAGAGTGCTCCAGCTAGCATATTTCTGTTGTGATTTCCTCATGTCTTTATAACCAGTTTATGACGCTAACATGCACAAGCAATAACCAGATAAACTTGTGTGTCTGGGTTACTGGTGTCCACATAAACTGATTGTCGCAATGATTTCAGTTGTCATAAAGCATTTATACCTACCGACATACATTGTTGATTATAACATTTGTTGCTATGGCAGAATTATGTATGGTCCTCTTTTGAAAGTTTGAACAAACTTGTTGATCAACTGCAGCGAAGATTGGGAAGTGTGGAATACAACAAATGAATCAGTGAAGTATTGATTTCCCAAAGAGGCTTAAAACAGTTTTATCCCATTTCCAAATACATTTTTCTGGCATAATTTGAATTTCCTGGTAAAATGACTACTACCAATGTTCAGGTGATAGAATAGAGGTGATACATCTTTTCATAAAACAATTAATATAAGTTATACAAACATAGAAGTACGTACAATCTGAAAAGATAAACCTTCTACTTTAACATTGTTTTATTGTTTTGTTTGTAAGAAAGCCTCTTTAAAGATCATCTATTCTGGAGGAGTGATCTTTGTCTTAATGCTCATGGGCCCGTTTTTCTGTGAAGGTGATCTGACTTTATTAAATTGCTGTGTGTTGATCAAAAATAGCTGCAGACTTGGGTTCTAGAGGACAGCCCAAACATATCTATCATAAAAAGAAGCGTCATGATTCACACTCTTAAATCCCAGTAGTGACTCCGGATATAACAGAAGTGATCCAATAAAGATCAGTAAGCAAGGCATGTCTGTGTGAATGACCTGGAGCCCTTTTAATATCTGTGAGATATTGAAAAAAGACAAGGGGAATTTCATTTATCAAGAACACCTTTTTATCTGACATTTACGAACAATTAAGAGAATGAAAAAACAAACAATTCCATCTCTCCTCTGACGAATTAGGTTCTCCAGATAATAACACAATGACACAAACAGGAAATATGAAAGTTCTTAGCTTCAGGTATGTTTTCTTTTGTATTTTTTCATGTTTGTCTGAAGTGTTTTCATGCAGACTGGTGACCACTTCTAATCTTCTGGTTACAGAACCGAACAAGTGCCTCGAGGTATAGAGGAAAGCTGCTCTAACAATGTAATGCAGCTGTAATCTAGACAAACATCTGCTACTCTCTTGATGCACCCGAACGGGAAGTGCAGTGAGTGGACAGGCTGCTGAACGCTTTAACAACCTGCACTCAACCCATCCCCAGCAGGGAAATCAAGACTATAAAGGGTCAGAGAATGAAAGCCACTTCAGTCACCACAGAGGGAATTCACTTGGCTGCATTGAACCTACTTGAACGGTCGTCTTTCAATGGGGAAGTAAGCCTAGATGTCTTTGTTAAAATAATATCTAATTTGGTAACTTTGTGTGTGGAAAAAACATATCAGAAACACGTATTTAATACAATATACAAACAAGGGTCTCTAAATCCATTAGAAAGATCATTCAAGTTGAACAGCACCTTCCAGAAAACGTTTGTAAAGTATTATGAGAAAAATCGATTAAGCAAAATATTAAATTGAAGGACAGCGACTGGATAGCTCAGCAAAAAATAAATGATTCCATAATGTTATATTATTTAGCATATAACATTACATTGTGCAGCTTCAAGCTGATCTATATAAAGATTACATTACTAAAGCTGTTTTTAGTAGTGCCAATAATCTTGTTTATTTTCTATACACCAAAGTATGCCCTTTAAATATCAGCTCCAGGAACACCGTACATAAGAGATTTACTCCTCATCAATCACCACAGGTTCAGTTGGCAAACTTAAATATTGTTTTATTCATACAAGAAATTCATATTCCATCTGCAGACCTGATCAAGTATGATGGTTCTGCATGAATTCCATCTCAATTTACATTTCGAGTGAAGTAAACCTGCAGCAAGCACTTCCACCACACTCAAGCACCATGTTCCACTTCAATAAGCAATCCCATGTTCCAAACGGCAAAACCATAATTATGTGTGTGTGTGTGTGTGTGTGTGTGTGTGTGTGTGTGTGTGTGTGTGTGTGTGTGTGTGTGTGTGTGTGTGTGTGTGTGTGTGTGTGTGTGTGTGTGTGTGTGTGTGTGTGTGTGTGTGTGTGTGTGTGTGTGTGTGTGTGTGTGTGTGTGTGTGTGTGTGTGCTTCTCCAGGTTAAGGCATACATAGTACAGCTTCGGACCCGGGCTTGTGGGCTTTTGTCACCACGTCATGACACTGAGACTTAATTAATCATCTTTTCACTCTGCCTTGGCAGACATTGGTGACCTGGGTCAGCCTGTCCTCATGATTAATTGATTATTGTAATGATGGCTTGTGTATCTGTTTGTACAGACATGGTCTATCAGGATTTGTGCTATTTGTATCTGCATGCAAGCACGAGTAAACATTGAAATATGTCTTTACAAATACAAATTATAATCAGTTAACACATTTTTAATACAGCCTTACATAGCTTCATGGCATAGACACTTAGAACTGCATAAGACAAATAAACTATTTTAAAGAGGATATATAATGTTTCTAGAAAATCCTTCTGGAGGGAACATTGGGATTTAGGCCTTTGCAGACCATTTACATACACAAACAAATCTAACTCACTACAGGAAAGGGAAAACCGCAAAAAGCACAATAGGGCCTCTTTAAGGTAGAAAACAATGAACAATGTAGGTTCTGTACACATACATATGTTTATGCCACAAAAGCTTCAGAAGTTATTTACAGCACATTGAAATTATATTTGGGATTTCTATAGGGCACACATTGTATCACTTTTGTACTCTTATTATCTGCATCAGTCAGTCACCTTTAAACAGCATAGTTGATTGTTTTAGGCAAAAGAGGTTTCCAAGTCAAAACTATTATTGTAAATCAGATGTACTTCAGAGGATAAAGAAGTTGAACTCATACCTTTATCATTATCATTCCAATCATTAAAAGCCACAAAAGAGGGTGAAGTGAAAATAATCCTTTCAATATGCAAAAGTTTACAAAGAGATCTTAGCTGACTGGGTTATCAGAAATAAGCTTTGTGTGTACACATGAGGATAAGACTGTATAATCAGTTTAAATCCCTTGACAAGGACAGGAGGATATTTAGCTAATATTTATCTTTCTTCTCAGCTCATAATCAATAACTTGCCCCAGAAATAATTTAGTGATATTCATTGATTTAATGATCGATAGAACAAGTTGAAAGAAAAAGAAGGAAATAAGTTGTAATACTTTGACTTAAATAGGGGATTTTTTTTTAAAGTTAAATGACAAAAGAAATCTGAAGAAGCATCGTTAGATTCTTAAAGAAAAGTGAAGAGAAAGGCTTTTGCTAGACAGACACATATTTATCTTTTCACAGCGTGTCTCTCTCTGCATACTGTCAGTGAGAGATGTGCGTGTCATTTTTCAAGCATATTTTTTAGGAAGGCTTTAGAAGAAGACAAAAAAAAACATAAAAGAAGCATATGGAATCAAAGGGGACTTATTCATGCAGATAACCTGATTGATGTTAAGCCTCTTTTCATACATTTCCATTGCAAAGTTTGCGCAAGGGGAAAGTTAATCAGACTTGAAGAAAAGAACAACTTAGCTTTAACCAGATCAACTGTCCATCAGTCAAACACAGACACTCGTGCTGTTGTGTTCATTCTTATTTTAACTTCTAGTAAGTAATCTAATTTACTGGTTCCATATTTATAAGGGAACTAAGGGTCAGCTTGATCTACTGAATGACGTATAAGTGGTAGCCAGACATGACACCATGAAAACTAATGAACAGTTCTGCTTTGTGTTTCCTCAATGTTCCCATTTTGTTCATTGGCGCATATCCTGTGCAAATGCATTATGGCAATCTGTGTTGACACTGCGAATACACAGACAGGGGAAGGCATTATTTGCTTGAGTTTAAAATAGGTCAGCTGAAGGTGTCAGAGACAGGTCATGTCCAAAATGTGTCAAGAAGTTGTGTCGTACATGTATATTAAAGACAATATGTGCTCTTTGGACATTAACAATTACTTTCATCATATCTATTAAGACTAAAAAGGGACAATGAGATACATGGAACATCAAATTTAGATGGTGGTTTGATGGTTTTACCTTAAAGGTGGACAAATATTTCCCGTTCTCTTTCCTGGATGATGGAAATAACCTAAGTGCCCATGTTAGGGACACATGCTAAAGGTCCATAGTCCGTCCTTTGGCGGTCTTGGAGGGGACAAATATAGGTGTATTTCACGTTCTCTTTCCTGGATGATGGAAATAACCTAAGTGCCCATGTTAGGGACACATGCTGGAGGTCCATAGTCCGTCCTTTGGGGGTCTTGGAGGGCACCTATTA